TGAACCCAAGCTCCTGGGTAGCCTGCGACGAACCCAGCTCGCGGGTTCGCGATGGGTAGCCTGCAAGGAACCCAGGCTCTTGGAGAGCCTGGGTTCGCCTGCGGGGTAAGAGGAAAAAAAAGAAAAAAATGGATGATGACGTGGGATCCATGTAAGCATCCTTTACATGTTGGCATATCCACATCAGCTGTTTCAGTTAAGTTAACGTAACACGTGAGCAAAAATTAATGGAGGGACCAAAAAAGGGCCGGATTTGTGAACAATAAGGACTAAAAAGGGGATTTTTTTGGTACAGGGATCAAAAAGGGGTTTTTTCCTATAGTAGAGGGACCAAAAAGGGTATTTAACCAATTAACTAAACAGAGACACTTTTAGTTAGGCCAAGGAGGAATGGGCTCTTGGACTACAGGTTTGAGTTGTTCCCACATGCAATAGGCCCAATTAGCTGTACATGTGATTTAGTTTAATTGGTGATTAGACATGTGTTGGGAAATTCTGAGAGTTTGATGCTTTTATCTGTTCGCTCGTTGTCAAATCTCTAGGAAAGATTAGGAATTCGGTGGTGCAGATGAATCTTAATGACATTGTAATTGTTTAGGAAGTTCATGAGATAATGCTGACTCCGTTTAGTGTGAAGCAAAGTGCAGTGGTGATATAGAAAATTGCTCTTTTGCATAAAAAATTGAAATTGCAATGTCCATTTTCTTCGATTATAACTGGATCATTATTTTAGCTTTTGTTTCTGCAGTCTCGAGCACATCCTGGTGAAGTTATGACAAGTTCTCACAGCTATGCAAGAACGTTTGCTGGAAGAAGATAGGGCACTACAACATGAAGTACAGGTGGATTCCAGGCATCCCTGGTCGTCTTGAAGACATGGTTCATTAGTTTGGGGATGACTTAAGCATTATCGAGAATGATAAGATTATTTAATCACCAAATGTCGTCAAATACGATGTATTGTATATACTTATTTTATTTCTTTGTTTGACTTGATCACAACCGTCTTCACTTATCCCTCCGTTTTTAAGATGGGTATTTTGATTTTGGGAGCATTTTTTTTTCAACTTTACTGTTTTGCTTTTAAAATGAAAATTTTAATGCTTAAATTTGACCATCAGTTCAATTTTTTCTTGGTGAAATTAAAATTTGGTGCACCGATTTCATGAGGTTGTGTTGAGCCTAAAGTAAGTTTTACTACGGTTATCCAGGACGAGGGGTCCACGGGGGCTCATCCCGGAAATAAACGTTGATTAATAATGTTAGGACTTAACCCCCTGTGGCAGCCTCCAACTTATCGTCATTGCATGTTTTAGTCCTTCAACACATAATGTAAATTATTTAACCCCTAAACTACTCATGTATTTAACAAATGCCTCAAAATTAACAGCAGATGAGCATGTAACTCATGTGCACGCATTAACTTGTGCCTACCATTGAGATCTTCAATGGAATTTGGTGGTTGAGAATAGTAAAATGATATTGAAAGTTGAGAAGACTCACTTAGAAAATTAAGAATTAAATTATAAATTTTTTGTTCTGAAGTTCATTTTTATTTTTAGGTTACTAAATTAGAGATAGGGTCTCATTTAAAGTGAAGGGCAGGAGTTTTACTACCCTTTATCAATCTAAGTTGGACAATTTTTATTCCAATGTGGCAATAACATGATGCTTAGTAAGTATAAACGAGTAGAGACAATATTCAATCTTAGAACAATTGCCAAAGATACAAGTCGTTTAGGGGTTAAATAACTTACATTGTATATTGAGGGGTTAAAACCTACAATGATAATGTTAATGCACAGGGGGTTAAGCCATAATGTTAGTGCCCAGTAATTTCCCCAAATACCAACCACAGAGAACCTCAAATTAATTTCATTGATTAGTGCTTTGTTGGGCATGTTTGTAGTTATTAAAATTTTGTTTTAGATTTCAAATTTTGAACAATCAAAATTAATACTACCAACTTAAATAATTCAACAATAATTTTCTTTCAATTGAAAATAAGAAAATTTGAATTTAATACGCATAATATGTGAGTAATATGAGTTAAAGAATAAAAGAAATTATTTTTTATTGTAAAATCAAGATAAAAAAAATCAAAATTAACAATTAAAAACGAAAATTGACAATTTATTGGATATAAATTTTTAAATGGTTTTTCTATATTTTGCTTGAGTATTTATTGCACTTTTTTATAATTAATTTGTATAAAAAATATAAATATTAACTTTAATTTAATTGAATTAGTGAATTAATACTATGCACATAACAATGGTGCAAAGATAAAAGTCAGTTTTTGTAATTTTTTATGTAAATTAATTATAAAAATACATTTACTACATTCCTTTAGGCACAATGGTGTGAAGATAAAAGTCAATTTTTATGATTTTTTTATATAAATTAATTATAAAAAATACATTTATTACATTCCTTTAGGCACATCTGCATGAATAGACAAACCCATTTTTTAAATTAATATTAAAATCTTCAAACTTAATTAATTAATCTATAAAACTTCTTAATTTTATTCTAAGAATTTCTAAATTAAAAAAAAAAAAAACTTAAAATCACAATTATTCTAATCGTGCCTAAGTTCTCCCTGGACTACTGTCATGCTACATGAGTACTCTCTTTCTTTTAATTGTCCCACTTCAAGTTTGCACACTTAAGATTTTAAGAAAAAAAATTTGAAATGTTATTATTTCTTTTTAATAAAAGCATTTTTCTTTTATAAAGTTTTAGAATAATGAGAATGAATTTTAAAAATTAGCCTTTAATATCTTATATATATATAAAACAAAGACAACAAAATAAAAATACCATAATTTAAAAGGTAAAATAACTAAATAAAAAGCAGAGGAGAGTAATATTCAAATTCAACTTGCCTGTCTCAGTTTTTTTTTTTTTGATAAGGAAAATGATCAGAGGTTAATATGTTAGAGGTGTTAGTGAAAAGTATTGAACCGAGACTTGAGAGTGCAAACCACAAGCTGCCCCCAAGGGCAGTAAGTGGCCACTGAGCCACGGCACGTGGAATGCACCTGTCTCAGTTTTGAAACTTTGGGGTATAATAGTGACATTAAACCAACTCTAATTTTATAACTGATAAGAGATAATCAAAATTCAAGACAGTTGAAGAGCCTCCATTCATAGACAATGATCACATTGACCCATAGTATTATTCAAATTCAACTTAATTCAACTTGCCTGTCTCAGTTTTGAAACTTTGGGGTATAATAGTGACATTAAACCAACTCTAATTTTATAACTGGTAAGAGATAATCAAGATTCAAGACAGTTGAAGAGCCTCCATTCATAGACAATGATCACATTCACCCATAGAATTATTCAAATTCAACTTGCAAGGCAAAATAGAGCAACCAATAATAAAATTGGTATTTTTGGTTTAGAGGACCGGCATTTAATAGTGACATCAAACCTTACTCTAATGTTATAAAAATCAAATGGAAAATAAAGTAAAGCAAAACGATTGATGCATATTGACTTCCTGTTCACAACTAGTAAAGCTCTTTTGTTATAATGTCCTCCCCTCTTTAGATCAACTCAGAGAAAGACATGGAGATCAATTGTTTTAGCCACGAACATCCATTGGTGCTTGTGGATCCAGTGACGGGTGATGAAGGGTTTAAAGATTATTGCTCTGGATGCCATGAAGTGGTAGAGGGTTCTTGCTACAATTGCGGTAAGTGCGGAGTTTTCCTTCACAAGAAATGCGCGGAGCTACCGCGTGAGATCAATCATCCCCTCCACCACCTGCATCCTCTTGTCCTTTCTAAGTTGCCATATGGTTCCTTCGGAGGGTTTTGCTGTCATATTTGCAGGAAAGGTAATGGATTTTCTTACAACTGCTCCTCTTGTAACTTTGACCTTGATCTTAGATGTGCAATGTGTCCACAATTTGTCAAAGGAGATTTTCAAAAGCTTCAACATTTTAGTCACGACCATCCACTGATCTTTGTTGAAGATATTGATTTTCACGACCATCCACTGATCTTTGTCGAAGATATTGATTTTGCGAGGACCATAGTTTGCTCAGGATGTCAGAGACCGATGTCTAGTCCTTTCTACTGTTGTCTTGATTGCACATTTTATCTTCACAAGAAATGTGCAGAGTTGCCTCTAGATATCAGTCACCCTAGCCACCGGAAGCACCCTCTTTTTCTTTTGGCCAAACCTCGACTACATCAAGAGAAATGTTCTTGCTTCTTTTGCATTTCTGATGGGGGATTTGTTTATTACTGTTCTCTTTGTGAGTTTGGTATTCGAGTTAAAGATACTTTTAGCCATGAACATTTATTGCTGCTCGTGGAAGATATAAGTGATGAAAGTGGACAAGCTAATTGCTCTAGATGCAGGGACCCGATACAGGGTTCTAGATATAGCTGTGAAAAGTGCAGTTTTTTCCTTCACAAGAAATGTTTTGAGCTACAGCTCGAGATCAATCATCCCTTACACCTCCAGCATCCTCTTATTCTCTATGATGATCAAGTGCCACTGCCAATAAATCATTTTAGGTTTTGTTGTAATGTTTGCATGAAAAAGACTGGGTCTACATATCGATGCACTTCTTGTGATTTTAACCTTGACATAAGTTGTGCTGCGCACCCAAAACTCATAGCTGGAGATTTTCAAAAGCTTCAACATTTTAGCCACTGTCATCCATTGATCTTTGTTGAAGATATTGATTTTGATGATGTTTGCTCGGGATGTCAGAAACCAATGTCAAGTCCTTTTTACTGTTGTCCTTATTGCAAATTTTACCTTCATAAGAAATGTACAGAATTGCCTCTTGAGATTAATCACCCTTGTCACCGAAAACACTCTCTTCTTCTTTTGCCTAATCCCCCACCACATCAAGAGGAATGTTCTTGCCATTGGTGCGAAGAATCTTATAGGGGATTTGTTTATTATTGTTCTCTGTGTGAGTTTGGCTTCAAAGCTACAGATGCATTTTTGGAAACAATTATAGCTAAAACTCACGAACATCCATTAAACCCCATTTCAGCTACAATTTCATTTACTTGCAATGCCTGTGGAATCGATGGGAAGCAGTTTTGCTTTACATGTACCAAATGCAGCCTTATTGTACATACAGATTGCATTTCAGTTCAACGCACCATCAAAATTACAAGGCATCGTCATCGACTTTCTCACATCTATTTCCTTCGAGAAAAGGAAACTAGAAGAAGGGAATGCAATATTTGTCATGATGAAGTGAATGTGGAATATGGAAGTTACTTTTGTTCAGATTGCAACTATTTTGCTCATGTAAATTGTGCAATTGATAAATATCTTTTGGAAGAAGATAAAGAAGAGGGTGAGGTTGAAGATGAAAATCAACTGTCAAATGACTTGAGCGACATCTCTTGTGCTTTCAGGGGAATCAAACTTGGAGAGATAAAACATTTCGCCCATGAACACAACTTAATTTTCAGTGATCACGGGGCAGAGGATGGAAAAAATTGTGAAGCTTGCATGCGTTCCATTTCCACTTCATTTTACTATTGTGCACAATGTGATTTCTTTCTCCACAAGCATTGTGTTGAGTTAAAGAAGAAGGTGCGTCACTGGACTTGCAAGCATTCAATAGAACTCTTTTTTTATATCATTTTTAGATGTGACTTTTGCCGTTTTTGGAGCAGCGGGTTTGGCTACCGCTGTGATGCTTGTGAGAGCACCATGTGCATTCATTGTCATGAAATTCTTGACACTTGTACTACTTGGAGACATGAGCACCCCCTTTACTTCGACCACAAATACAAGGGAAGGTGTTTTGGTTGCGGCAGTGAATCAAAAAGAGGCATTTTTAGATGCAAGGAATGCAACTTTACCTTAGATTATAAATGCTTGGGCCTACCGCAGACAACCAGCTATAAATATGATAATCATCCTCTCAGGCTTACTTTTCAGGATGATCATGATCCAGGTCAAAGTCATTGTGACATATGTGAAGAAGAAAGAGACCCGACACATTGGTTTTATCATTGTGTCTTTTGTGATGTTTCTACTCATCTCGATTGTGTGCTTGGTGTAGGCCCATTTGTCAAGCTGGGGTTACCAGTCAGGTATGACAGACCTCACTCACACTCTGTCACTTTAGTGAGGATAGATTTTAACCCACCTTCGTGCAACGAGTGTGGTAAGCATTGTAGAGATCTGGCCCTTCAATGCGTACAGTCGAATTGCAGGTACATAAGGCACTTTAAATGTACATCTACTCGGTATGTCGTGATAAATACATAAACTCTACTTTGTGTATTGTGCTAAATATATAAACCAAGGAGGTGGCACTGGTTTGTTATTTTTCATGGCGATGAGATGGAATGCCCCTTAATTATGTAATACAATCTAATTTGCTATTCTTATGTGGAGGATGCGAAAAGTCATGATTGGTTAATATTTTATATGTTTAATTAAAACTATAAAGTAGATATAGTGTAGATCCTTCTTAAGGTTGTGTTTAGGATTGTAATTGGAATTTTTTTTTTAATTATAATGTATAATATTTTTAAATATATGTGTATGTGATATTTTTTTATTTTTTTAAATTGTAAAAAATTACAATAAATTGATAATAATTTTAAATAATAAAAAAATCTTATTTTAAAACTTTTTAATTGTATTTTTATGAATAACTTTTTAATTGTGTTTTTATGAATAATATTTAATATTTAATGTAATTATAAAATTACCAATTAAAATACAATCTCATTTAATTTAACTACTTCACAATTTATAATATTTTATTTAAATTTAACTTTTTATTTCTTTCTAAAATTTCATACAAAATTAAAAA